ATGGTTTCAATAATATTCAACTCAAAATTCTTTAGTTCAACTCAATTCAAAGAAAAGGAATAGCACTTGAGCTGCGCATTAAAAAATGAGAGAATAGGATATTGATAGATATAAGTTAGGACAGCTGGTAAGAGAAAGGGGATTCCAAGAACAGTACTGGTAGAACCAAAGAGGTGCCCAAAAGCACAGCCTCTTCAATAACTGCAGGGAAACTGAGACTGCAAAAGGGCAGAGTATCACAGAGCTATGATGAGGAAGGAGGCTGGACATGCACCTTTGGAGCAGACTGCAAAGGGCTCTGATGGCTGTGCTGAGTATTGAGCACTTGATCAAACAGACTTGAGGAAGTTTTCATTTCATAAGGCAAAAATTAGGAAGATTCAAAGAGGAGAAATGAGAAAACACAAAAAACACATAGGAAGCTGTGTATGGGGTGCTGAACACATAGTAAAGGTAGAAAAGAAAAGGCAATAAAAGATTATAGGAACAGAATGTACAAATTTGTCTGGGGACAAGAAGAATAGGAAGAAAAGAAATACGGATGACACCAACGTTTCTAATCCAAGGACAACTCAGAAGAAGTATGAAGAAAAGGGAAGTAGTTGTGAGTATGGATGGAAGACAATAGTTTGGGTTTATAAAATGATGTTTGGGATACAGGAGAATCTCTCATTTCCCAATCATGTAATAAGCAGATAGAAATCAATGTCTGGAACTCCAGCGACCAGCTAGGAAACTTATTTTGAAGGTTATCTATGTACAAATTATTGCTTTTGTGAGAAGCAGATAGCGATATGGCAGGAGGCAGTATAGACAGCCACCTGAAAGAGGATATAGATAAAATGAAAATAAAAGACTTTAGAATGGAGATGGAGACATAGAGGCCAAACGTCAAATGGAGAGGGAATTCCATATTGATGAAAAAAGTGTCAAAGAAGTAGCTCACAAAGAACAACTTCCATCCGTGGGATATTTCCAATGGAAGATGCTTCCAATATTTTATTCCGCTAGGAAAACATAGTTGTCTCTTTTCTTCCCCTCGCCCAGAAACACAAAAATGGTTACCTGGCCAGAATGCAGATTTAGAATATTTAAGATACATCCAACAAACTACTCTTATTTCTAGCTAGCCAAATAATTGGATAGATCTTTTTAAAGTAAGACATAAATCAATTTATCTACAAAATCATAATAAGCCATTTCAACCAGAGAAGTCTGAATTGGTTTGCTTTTCTCTTAAAATTCTCTAATAGTATTTCAGTTAAGTTACTATTGCAAGTAGTTGGAATGTATTTTCACAGGGAGTCCAGGATCTACTTGTGTAGTAAGAAACCATTAGAGCATACTCAAGAAAATGTCCCTTTAGTTGGGATGGGCCACTAGGAAGGAAGACAGAGAAAAATTTTATTTTAAATATTGCAAACAAATGTCTTGTTGACCTACAAGATGACAATGCATCAGCATTTGATGAGTCTAGTCTAATTTCTCCTGTAAAATTACTGGTGGTTCTTTGAGAGACAGAAGGCAGTAAATTCCTTGCCTCCATCAATACATTTGACCTCACAGCAAACCCCACAACTGGCTACAGCCACCCACCATCCATCATTGCTCTTGAAACCTGATATTTCAGGGAAGGACAGCTGCACTGGGCAAAAGGCTAAACAGCTTTCTAAGATACATTACCACTAAAGAAAAAAAAAAAAGGCACTTATTTTGGTTCAGTATTTTAACTAATTGCTTTTCGAAACATTTCTTCCCCAAACTGAAGCTCTAAATCAAATACCCTAAGAATATATTAATACAATTTAGACTTTAAAGGGAAATGTTCTCTTTGTGCATTCTGGGTAAAATTACTTCTAGCTTTTGCTTTAAGAGCTTTCTAAGATAAACAGCATACTATGGCATGCTGATATGTACAGACTTTAATAAATGTGTTAAGCAGAAAAAGATAGTTCTAGAATCTATAGTAATTATAGCAGTACACGCAGGGTGCCAATAGGATAAATGTATATAGAACATCCATATCCAACAGATCTTAATTTTTAAGTCAGGTGGCGATACTTTTAACAAATAGCTGAAAACAACAGAACTCTATCATAGGAACTAGTGTTATTGAATATGTTCATCGCATGACTTCTACATTCAAGAATTACCTAAATTTCAAATACAAAATAAATTTGTACGATCCAACGAGATATTCATTCCATGTATTGTTACTCCCTTCACTTTACAGATGATGAAACCAAGATTCTGAAATGTTTTATCATTTCCCGCAAGAGCCCTCAAATAAATAGCAGAACTGAGGCATAAATTCAGTTTTTCTTATAGAAAGAATTGAATGTTCTTTTCACTGTAGCATAAAAAGAAAAGAAACTGGTTGAGATTTTGCAATTATTTAGCATTATCTTAATACGTATTATATATACCTGCATGGTTAAATGAGAATTAACAATAATTTCCAATCATTTATAAAATCATTACTAACACAACCCTTTTAGTTAATAAAGGAAATCCATCTACTTACAGTTGAAAAAAAAAGATGTCTTTCTTACTTGTGATCTGATCATTATGGAGGATCATTTTATATATTTGAAAGTACAATTTCTCCAAACCCCAAAGCATTACTGAGAAAGTCTTGTTTTCTAAACACAGTTCCCAAATCTCAATTTAGTTAGCTACTGCTACATTAAAGAACATAGCTCAAGGGATGTTAATTAAAAAAAAAAAAAAGACAATTGAGAATATAAAAATTTAATCAATCTCATGCAACTGCCAGAGCTAAAGACAGTTAAATCTAGTAAATAGCCACGTGGCAAAGGTCACAATGCTCCTGACATTGTTATCAGAATGTCAAGGAAGAAGCAAACTTAGCCTTTCTGGTCAATGAATTCAAAGAATTAAGAGAAAGCCTTGACTCAGATGGCTGCTTTGGCTCTTATACTTTGCTGTAAATGCTGGAGGAGCCAAAGTGGGGATCTGCCACCTAAAAGCTGCCATTTGCAAAGGAGAGCAAAGCTTGCTTGTCGTAGGTGAAGACGGAAGAACGTCTAAGTTGTTCCAGTACTATCTGCCTGCTACTATACATGACCTATGAGCTTACAGACAGAATGAGCTGTCTTCACTTTCCAAATCATCATCTTTTTCATTTAGTTTACTCGTCTGTGACACATAGGGATTTGATTTGAAGGACAACAGAGGTTAAAAAGCCATGAAAAAGCTCAGTTTTGCTGTCTCTTTCTTCCCCCCTTTGGTAATTTTGAAAATGTCATCGGCCAACTGAGTAGTATTAATATGGTCCTTTTAATGTAACAGCATCCAACTAAAAATAATGAACAGGAAGATACAGAATTAATTATTTTGTGAGGGAGGAGGAAGACATTGCAGGCATTGTTTTAGTCCATTTTTTCCCTGTGAGTTGCTTCCAGGAGCGTGGCAATACACAAAGGACATAATACTTAGCGTACGTAACATCTAAATCTTAAAAATATTTTATAAATAAAATGTTAAGAGGAAAAGCCGCAAACTGTTGATTTCTTGAAAGCAAATGGGTAATTTATTAAAGGGGAAATGAGAGACACAGGTCTTAAATGTAATTTTGTGAACTATGTTTTGTAAGAATTCTATTTAATTCTCCAGTCTAGCGCCATTGTGATGACATTATTGTTTAGGTTACATTAGGTCAGAGACTGCTGTAACATATAAGCGTTTGCTCTTTGACCTTCCTAAGACTTATGACGCAAAGAAAATACTGAACTTTTACATCTAAGGCTATAATTTCATATAATGAACAACCAGGAAGCATAAGTCATATATTCTTTTAGCTATCTTTCTTAAGGCCTTAATTGTGGAAAGCTGAAATGCATTTTTAGTTCGTTTAAAAAGGGAGAGAATTTGGACACTTTGTGGAAACAAATGGAAGCCAAGCATGATATTTTAATAAGTGTTACCAACTACTAATTAGAAGCAAATGAGATTACCCATATAGAAAATATATCCCAAAGCAACCTATCCTTTGGTAGAAATGTCACTGTGCCATGAAATTACAGAAGCTTAAACAAGTGATGCTTGTTCAAATGAAATTTACTGACAAATCCCTTCTAAGCAATCTTCTTCTACATTATCAAATTTCTTCAGCTGATGTGTTATATAGGAATTCCCAATCTTGCAGTTCACAGAGAGAATAAGTCTTTCCTCTGCTCTTTCTTGGCAAATTGCTGATAATATAAAAAGGAATGTTTTAAAACACTGATTTTGCTTGAGGCAGCAAGTTGCCTTTGTGCCACCACAAGTAAGTAGCTTTCCTAAAAGATTTTTCTAAGAAACAAAACAGTAGAAAGATGAAATAACAACAAAAAAGGCAAATAACTCCATAAGGCAGTTAAGAGATTCAGAATAAATTTGGCTTAAATCACATGTAACTGCTGTCACTTTAAGAAAATAAGAAAATGTAAAGCAGTCTTTGAATACTCTGGGAAAACTGGATAATTATATCCTTATATTTAGCACTTCATATAGCTGGGCATGTAATACAAATCCTGCATATTTTGTGACCACTATGTTGAGTACACTACATAAAACGTAAAGTTCATTTTCGAGATTCCTGGAAACTTTTGGGAATTAAAAAGGTACCATGATTAAAGGTTACCTGCATAGATACTTTAAGTGTAAACCTAAAAGTCTCATGCTCCTAGGATCACAAGTTGGAGAAAACACACACACGCACACACACACACACACACACACACACATTCAATTCTTATACCACCCACAAATACACAATGAAACTAAAGAAAGGTTGTTTTAAAATAAAGGGTAAACTAAAGGATAGTTTTAAAATACAATCACCTTTGAAATATTGACCTTTCTTGAAATGATACTTTTCATATGTGATTGTGTTAATGAATTCTCATTTGCCCATAGAATCCTTTTAAAAATAGAACTGTGCAATAGTTTGATATATCAGGTTTGGCCTGAAGGAAATCCAATATGCAAATACTTACAGTTGTGCTCTTTTACAAATAGTCACCCTTGTCAGTTTGAAAAACTGAAAATCAACAAAAGAACAGTTTAAGTATACTTGACCTTATTGCCTAATGTCTCTCAAGATTGCCATGGCTGGTCGATTTCAAATCTGTGAAACTGACACTTAAAAATGTATAGCGTCTTCAGACCAGGTCCCTCAAATGCTGACTAAACTGTGGTCGCAGCCTCAGATTCTCCTTCCATACAAACTTGTACAGTGCTTACAAAGCTAGTTTAATCACACCATTAATCTATGCCTACACTTCCCTTAAAGTAATTTTGCTTCATTTATCTTTTAACCCTACATTATGCAAATAACATCCTTATCAGTCCAATAAAGAAAAATTATTAATGTTCCTTCTTGTTTATCTTTGCCATACACTGAGAACTGGAATCACATATAAATTTGCACCAATACCACTACTCTTTCCTATTTTTCACACTCTATATGAAAAATCATAGTGTCAGAAAAGCCCTAAATACCATTCTTAAAATAGCAGTCTTCAATCATCGTCTATAACTAGTATCAGAGTATGAGTTAATGCATTAAAAAGAAAAACAAAAAACAAAAACAAAAACTTGGGGAATGCCTACTTGAATTTTCTTTTTTAATGTCTCTCCAGGAAGGGTTTGCATGCCATACCAGGATACCTCCTAGATATAAGAACAGTTATACAGGCCCCTAGTGGCTTAGCAAATAGCAGCAGATGAGGGGATTCCAATTCTTAGTTCTAGACTTTGAGATATTCTGGATTTAAATGAGTGTCAATCTTAAAAGGCAAATCAAATCACAGTGTTTAATACTTTAAGCAGTTTTACATCGATGGTTATCTACCTAATGCACATATATTAAAATAAATTGCTGCATTTCATTACTTGAGTAACTGCACAACTGCTCTGGCACAAGAAGAATCTGTGTTACATAACCTACACAATAAAATGTTTAATTCATCCACCTCTTTACGTGTCATGCAAAAGTAATATATTACTCAACGATATTAAAATATATTTGAGAGGCACTGTTCCTTTTTGATTCTTATTCCTATTACTGAGAGCCATAAGAACAGATGATTTCTATGTAAAGTACTCAATATTTAAAATAAGATACAGATGAAAATTGAATGCCACTTTTACAGGAGTAAAAATCTAACTATTTCCCAATAACAGCCAGTGATACAACTTACACTGGAGTGCACCTATTGTAAAAGATCTACAATTAATAACACCCATTAATCCCCCATCTCCTTGCTGTCCTTCCTTCACAAAAGAAAATTCCAGGCAGGCACATTTACAGCTTTTAGCAATTTTTAACTGGACACAATCTGACAGCTGAATTCATGAAACTGACCAGCTTGTCAATTTCACACTTTGAAAGTACAATAATAGCTGATAGCATGAGGGTGAATTTAAGAAATCTGCCACAGAATTGCTGGCTCCATTGAAAAGCAAAGTACAGTACATAATTATGGAATGTGGGAGGTAGGCAAAATTTTATTGTCCATTTAGGATGTCTGTTTCAGCAAGTCAGACATGGAGCATTGAAAAATGTGTTCTTTTTGCTATACTATCTGTGGCATAACACAGAATATATATTCAAAGTAAGATGCTAAGCCTTTTCCTGTATATTATCATATTACATATACAACTTAATCTTTAAGTTATTATCATCTACGGATCCCTTTAAATTACAATGTTTCAAGTCTTGGTATATCATCCTTGTTTTACTCAAGTTGAGCGGCTGGTGCGTGCACTTTGAAACAGAGAAAAAATAGTCAAAATGGTCAGGAGTATCTATGGTTGAGCTAACTCCCCACAGATGTGCTACAGGATAGTTAGAAAAAAATACACCAAAGGGTAAAGTCCACATTTGTAGCTCAGTAAATCTTACGGAAAATCTGTCTCAAGTTATAAGCAGTTACTAGCCTCTGAGAGGTTCAAAATGCATGAGCTCCACTCTGTTAAGTCCCTGGCACTGTCTTTGGGCATGTAAATATATACATTATATATATATATATATATAAAAACATATATATGAAACTTTAAGAGAAAATACAGGTTGAACAATCCCTCAGGAATCTTCCCAGATAATTAAGGTGCAAACAGTAGATTAGGCTGCGGGGGATTACTCTGAGAATTTTAGAACACAGAGGAGATATTTGGCAAGTAGCGTACTGGGAGGCGAACTGGAAACAATACAAGTGGATCCTTGATAGTCCTGGTTTTGGAGAATGGAACTACTATCTCGAACACCCAATTAATGAAAGCCAACTTCACACCTGGTGTTCAAGATTCACTAAGCCTAAGACTTAAAAACTGACTTCACCTGTTAGTGATTTTAAATGAAAATCAACGTCCAGAGAAGCAATGCAAGTTTTCTACACACCTATGTAAAAGCTACAATAAATCTATGGGAAAGCAAAGCATCTTTGGTTTGTTCGTGGCTTTCTTTTTAAAATTGTTTCCTACAACTTTGACTCTTCATTATAAATTATGCGTTCCCTTCCCTACGGAATGAATGTGTGCGTTAAGCACACCAGATTTCCGCAGCTGAACTGCGAGCTCTGATTCTGCCATGGAACGGTCTCCCAAACAATCCCCCTCCTCTATGGCAGCCGCGAAGACTTTGATTCCTGCTATTTCTCCTTCTCCCCACTAGTTCAGAGGAAAGAAAGAAAAAGAAATCGCCCCCTCACCGTAATGTGCCCTCCTTAAAACAGTAATCCCTGCCTTTAAAAAAGGCGGTGGCAGAATCCCCGGGTAAGGGTGGACTGCCCCACCGCTCCACCATTTCCCCCAGTACTACGCCCACCCTAGGAGGAGAGAGCGGGGGTCGCACACACACACATACCCGGACACCCCCATTCTCTAGAATCGCCTCTCCCCGGGTCTGAGGCTTCAGGCGAGAAGTGAGCCCTGCAGGGGAGGACCTCTGCCCCGGGAGGTGCAGAGGAGCAAACTGTGCGCTCCGTGCCCGGGCGCGGGGCTCGCGAAAACGGGAGCCTGTCGCTCCGGCCGGGGAGGCGCCGGCAGCCGGAGCCGGGCGCAGGGCGAACCCCGAACAGCAAGACTGGAGGACACACGGGGCGGCCCGGGTCAGTTCCCGGGACTTACCTGGTCATGTTGGCTCCGGGCAGCCGCCGCCACCGCCTCCCGCGCCGCCACCAGCACTTTCCTCCAGCGCCTTCGCGCCCCGCCACGGCCGCGCAGCCAGCGCCGCCGCCTCCGGGCGGCCAATTTAATCCCGCGGAGCAGCGGCCGCCGCCGCGGAAGCCCCCCTGGTCGCCGCCGCCGCCCAGCCCTCGTGCGGCCAGCCCAGTCCAGAGCGAGGAAGTGGAAGAGAGTCAGCGAGTGAGTCCAAAAACCCGAAATCCAGCATCCGAGGGAGCGCGTCCCCCCGCCCTCCCTCCACCCCTATCCCCTTCTCCTCCTCCTCCTCCTCCGCCTCCTCCTCCTCCTCCTCCTCTTCCCGGGCCGTCCTCTTGGCCCTTCAGAGACCGCGGCTTCCGCGGCGCTTTCTCCTCCTCTCGCTCCTCCTGCTCGCCCTGCGCCCGCTTCTCTCGCCGCCGCCGCCGCTGTTTGTCTCCTCTCCCTCCTCCTCCCGCTCCTCGATGCTCCGCCGCTCGCGGCTGGGGGGTCCGGGGCCGCGTCTCCTCTCCTCCCTCCGCCTCTCTTGTTTCCTCCTTCCTGCTGCCTCTTTTAAAGCGGATTCTTTGGCCACAAATAGCAACTCGCTGCCCCCTCGGTGCCTCCCTCCCCTTCTTCTCTTCTTCCCCCCAAAAGTGAAGCGCACGCGAGGTAACCAGAAACTGAGGCTCGCGGGGGGAGAGGGGTGCGAGGCGACCCTGAGAAAGGGCCCGAGCCGAGTCAAGGGCCGGGAGGTGGGGTGGCCAGCCCAGCCCAGTGCTTGGACCTGGCGTGAACCTGGTAGTTACGGCGGCAGACGAGGTGGTTTGGTGGGGAAATTAAACGAAAAAGCTCAGGAAAGTAATTGGAAAGGCTTCTTTCTTTGTTTCCTTGTCTGGGTGATTTCTAAAATCCTCGTAACGTGCTGGGGATCCCACGGCATCGCTGTGCTCCAGCGCTGGGGGATTGTGTGTGTGCGTTGCCTGCGCGTGAGTGTGAGTGTGGGTGCGCCCGGATGCGGGGAGAGCCGGGCCCGCTGCGCCCGCTGGCGACTCCCTGAATCTGGACCACTGACCCACTGAAAAGACCAGAGAGCTGGATGAAGGAGGGGCAGGCAGGAGAGGTGGTAGGAGGCACCACACACCCACCCACACACACACCCACACACACACACACACCAGAGGAGGGGGCGGGGTGACGTCACTCCCCAGCATCCATCCACCAGGCCAGAAAAGACCCTCTTCAACCGATTCACTTATCTCCTAAGAGATGCACACCCGGGCGCTTCCTGCTCTGCGTCCCAGCGCAAAGAAGGAAAAAATGCTGGTCGCGCCCTATTCACAGCAGTGATAATAATATAGGGAGCGTGCTTTGATGAGACACAGTTTGTGTCCGCCCCAGTTCACCTTGGCAGCCTCCTTCGAGGATGCTTGTAGGATCTACTTTGAAGGCAAAGAGGAAGACAGGGAAGTATTGTATCGAAATCCTAGTGTAATAACTTGTTTTGCTTTCATGCGACTTGCTTTTATGATGTTGGAAATGCAGTGCTCCTAGCTTCTCTGAAGGACACTATAACACCCACTCCCTAGACCAGCACCCAGTTGTTGGGCTGTGCACTCTTCATCCACAGAACCCAGGGTGACTAAGGTGTACTGTGTATGTTAGCTACGGGTTGGATTTTAACCTTCTTCACTACTCATAGGGTCTCCAGCATGTGGAAGAAGTCAGCAGCTGGAAGCCATCATTGGCAGTTGGCCCATCAAAATTTATTAGAAACTTGTTCAGAAAGGTTAAATAAAGTAAAGCTAGGGCTCACCAGACACCTCCATTGCTCATTCCGTGTTCAGACCAGCATACACACGCGATACTTATTCCTGCAGATTCCAGGCTCTCTTTGAAAGAGCAAAGGTAAGCACGCCCCCCTTAGATTTGACTTAATGATCCAGCATCCTGACTGTTGTCTCACGCTGCCCATTTATTTCCACCATCTGCATGCTGCGCTCCTGAAAGCCACGCGGGGATTGGTCAGTAATCCTCTGCCCCCTATGTGCTCCAAAAAGAAGTCACACATTTTTGAAAGGAATCTTTCTAAACGAAGTTCAGTTTTCCAGCAATTTGAGGGAGGGGGAGGAGCAACCTGGCATGAGTCTCGCTTGGCTTTTTGTTTTTTGTTTTTTATGGTTAGTGTCACAGTGAAAATCAGGAAGAAATCAATTCCTGTGTAAGCCTCCAAGCTAGGTTTGCCCGCCAATCATTCTGATTTCACAGGAGCTGAAAAGCTGTGCAATGATGATGGACACCTGTCCCTAGTGCTCTAAAGATGGAGCCAGAAAGCGGAGCCTCTCCACAGGTGCTTCCACCCAAGATGTAAACTCCTACTTAGCTTTCTCATTGCCACCTGCTCCCCGAGAAACTGGTGATCCCACTTTCTTTATTCAAACTTGCAGGTTAGAGAAACAGAAAGTTTTGAAAACCATAATATTCCTTTGCTGTTACCTTTGGGGGAAAGAAAAGTATCCCTCTGCCTGCAGATCTGACCTCATTTAAGACCCAGCTGGTCAGTCTGACTGCTATCGGGGAACATAGTTGAGGAAATATCATCTTTCACCACTGGTAGCAATTTAAACTAGCTAGAAAACTTAGCAATGATTGTTACCAAGGAGAGCCAACAAGCAAGTAGAAAAGGGACCCAGAAATCAGAGGATACAGAGGACAGTACAAGTAAATGGCACAAGCCCAACTTTTCTGACACCATAAAGTCCTAGATGTTCTTCTCTTTACAACCAAACATCTTAGAGAAAGAAGTAGGGATGGGTTGAGGTGACTGGAGAATCTAAGTTATTATTATACAAATGAGACAATTATTCAGGGTGATGCTGCTGCAGAACAGGAGATACAGCACATAGAGAAGCCAAAGTTTCTCTGCACATCAGGGTAGTCATGGAACAGCCTGCTACACATGCGTTATATATTCAGAGCAGATTTGCCACAAAAGAGCGTCCTCATGCTGCAGCCAGTAGCAAACTTCTAAACTGGTTTACCATGTGGGAATTTTAGATCAAAAAAAATTCAGAAGCAGGATAATCTTTTGTTGAAATTACCTCATTTTTACAGGTAAAGAAATGAAGACCCTGAGAATTTAAAAATCATCCAACTATTTGGTGGCAGAAGCAGGACAAGAACTCAGATATCATGATCCAGTGCCCTCTATCCCACTATTCATCACCTCCAAGTTCTGGATCAAAGAAGCCAGTTTTCCAGCTTATCAATGAGCAATACATACAGAATATTTAAAAATTCTACATGCTTAGATGAAGGAAAAATGAAGCAATAGGACAAGACATTTTCTTAGTTCCCTTCTAACTCTAACATTCTGTGATAAATAGCACATAGGAGCTTTGCTATAGCACAACCCCCTCTAGTGCATAATTCAGCATACGATGAGTATGAGTCTGTTTTGGACCCCATCCAAAGGAGTTAGTTCCTAGAAGTACTTGGAAGATTTATTCTCATTTATCACGAGGCATCCTAACAGGAGACTAAAAATAATCATGATGACAATAATAGTAATCAGTTGTTACACTTGAATTATGTACTAAGCATCCTGCTAAGCATGTTGTCATAGTTCACCCATTTTTGAAAAGACACATCATGACCTTATGTGGGTTGTAAGTCTAGTGGGTCATGAACAATTTCTGAAATGAAAGAAAAGTAGGAAAGAACACAGAGTACATCATATGTACTAAGTATTGTTTTGCAAAACTTCCTTTCTGATCATGTGGCTAGTGATTAAAAGTTTGAAAGCCACTGCCTTGCTAGTTAAGTATTACCCTCATTATATAAGTGAGGAAACAGAATGAGAGAGGAAAATTTGCCCAAGCTGACACAGTGAGTGGCCAAGCTAGCATTTTGAACCTACATCAGTTTGACTTCAAATCCAATATTTTCAATTCTATCATGATGATAAATTATTAACCAAGGTATGGAATAAATTGTTGCAAATCATATTTCCTTTGTGAGGACTACAGTGGTTTTTATAAAATCCAGCTAAATGGAGAAACACAGCATAGATTCAAGTGACATGTTCTGAAAATAGTGAGGAATTTCATAAAACACTAATACCCTGAGACCTTTCCCTATAGGTATTAGGTTATGTCTAATATACTTTATTAATTTGCTCTACATACATAAGTGAAACAATTTTTCATCTTCAAATAACCTAAATATTCACTTCTACAAGTGTAACTTTTGAGAGAGTGTTTTTCAAATTTAAGGTATACAGCATTTCTCAGTAGCTTCCTTTGGCCAAACAGAACTAGCAGATAAGAAAGATAAAAGCTAGGTGCCGTGGCTCACACCTGTAATCCCAGCACTTCGGAAGGCCAAGAAATGTGGATCACCTGAGGTCAGGTGTTCGAGACCAGCCTGGCCAACATAGTGAAGCCCCATCTCTACTAAAAATAAAAAAATTATCCAGGCATGGTGGCACATGCCTGTAATCCCAGCTATTTGGGAGGCTGAGGCAGGAGAATGGCTTGAAGCCAGGAGGTGGAGGTTGCAGTGAGTGGAGATGGTGCCACTCCATTTTGCTGCCCTCTAGCCTGGGCAATAGAGCCAGACTGCATCTCGAAAATAAAGACATAAATAATAAAGTAGCCAGACCACCATTAAATTCAACTTCAGTTGTGAAGAAGAAAAGAAGACAATAATTGAGGTGCCCTGCTAAATTTTTTGGCCCATGTAGTTCTATGGATTCAACCAGTAACATTGCGTGCTTAGGTGTCGTTACTCCCATTCTGCAGATTTGAAAGCTCAAACTCAGATCTAGGAGATGATTGAAATGAATATCTCATCCTGTTCTGATTCCACTACCCCAAATTTCTTTATAAACAGTTGGGCTTCCAGTATATCAGGGGATGTTTAGAGATTTTGAGACATGCTGTGCAATCATTTATGCTTTCTTTTTCCATGTGAAAGAAATGTGCTTTTTTTCTTCAGGGCAGCATCTCTTGTTGCTGTTAGGCAGCACCGTCCTCTTTAAGAAAAGAAATCCACATCTTTTACTAAAGAAAGGCCTAGAAAAGCCAGACCTTCTCCGCTGACTGCTCAGCTCGACTGCTGCATTTCACCCTCACCTGCAGTGTGTAGAGGACGTTATGGTACGATGCTATTTTCTATTGGCTCTGCTACTGGAGATTACAGCATGCTACTGTGACAAATGGATA